CTGTGTTGAGGGCCTGTGAGGTTTCTCCAGTGGGGGGCAACCAATACTATCCAGCACGCCTCCCCAGCCAGAGGTTTGAAATATCCTGGCTGTGGGAAGGCCTGGCTCTCTTTTACCCTGCTTTGGCCTTCGGGCTGGTTGGAGGGCGGGGGCGCACACGCACCCCCGGGCATGCCCCCTCAAGGCCCGTTAGGCGTCTACTTGGCCCCACAGGCGCTTGCTCTCTTACCCTGCTCCTAGTCAGCTGCAGGGGGAGGAGGAGGGTCTCCCTCCCCTGCAGGGGCGCACATTTGCACCTGCTCTGGGCCTCGCTGAACCCACAGCCTCTGGGCCCACATGCTCTTAGCCTCTAGGGTTCTTGGGCTTCTGTCCTCCCAGGATACCCCCCAGTTCCCCACACATGGGTGCTCTTTTCCACGTGGGTGTTGGAGTCCGGTTGTGAACCCCAGGGCAGCTTCTGCGCTGCTTGGCACGCTTCCCAGAAATAGAGTGTACCCTTTTGAGACTAACACCTGAAACTTCTCTTGTCCGTCATAAGAACCCACTTGGATCACAAAACGTGCCTCGGCGTGAATTCTTAAATCATGTGAAACAATAACCCACTCCAGAAACCTACCAGAGACCCCTCGTAATAGTACTCTTCCTACTTCCACCCTGGGTTCCCCGTTTCCTTTTGTCCCTTTTTCCTGCCCATTCCCGCTTTCTGAACTTGGTTTCTGAGCAAATGCTGCCCTTTGGGTCTCCTGTGGTCGATTGTTTGAGGAGTATGTTTCTCACGGGTGTGTGGTTCACTTTATACGCCTGCCTATTGTTTACTGAAACGTGATCCCCAGGGGTAGATTCAGTTCCAGATTTGAAGGGTGTCTAAGGGCCCTGGGCTCAGGGTTCCACCAACTAACTTCCTTCCTTCCTTCCTTTCTCCAATTTTATGAACCCCGAATAACAATAACAAAATAAAACACAGAAAAACCTCCATCCAAAAGGAAACTGAAAATGATAAAAACTAGAACAAATTTGAAACGGGGCAATCCACCAATATCTATCAGGCCACTAAGTCATGTCTTTTTGATGATCATTTTGAAGTTTGTTCTACATTTTTCTGCCACACTGTGCAGGATCTTTTGTTGTGACCTCATCAGAGCAATCGGTAGTGGTAGTCAAGCACCTTCTAGTTCTTATGGTCAGAGGCGAGTGGAAGCTGGGGTTCCTGGTGGCCTATTGCTCCCCAGGGCTGTGTCCTGGAGTATGGCTTGCGTCACTCTTATTTTTCTTCATTCTTTTGTGCTCCAGTCAGAGAGTGACTGCTCACCATCTAACTGAAGACCGCCATGGCGACTCACATTGTCTTTGAGGACTGTGCTGCACTACCATCCTAAGTGGAGCTATCATAAACCTCCACGTCCACTCACAGCCCTTCAAGGTGTTTGATTATGGCTAAGGTGGTTTCCTAACCTTATTTCCTAACCATATTTTCTGGAGCCCTGGTGGTGGAGGGGGTTACACCTTGGACTGCTAACAGCAAGGTCAGCAGTTCAAATCTACCAGCTGCTCCGAGGGGGAAAGATGAGGCTTTCTCCTACCGTAAACAGTTACAATCTCAGAAGCCCATAGGGACAGTTCTACTCTGTCATATAGGGTCGCTATGAGTCAGAATCGACTCATCAGTGGTGAGTGTGAGCCTTGATACCACTGTCCACAATGGATGTCCCATTTTACAGACTCAAGTAGTAACTGAGAGCTCCTACCTCTTCATGTCATATCATAAACGTGTTTAATACAGTCGTAGTTTAGTAAAATGTGATAGCTCTTTATCTGGTAGTGAGGGAAACAATGGCATTAAAAAAGAAAATTGATTTATGTACATGATACAGAATAATGATTTATGTACATGATTTATGTACATGATACAGAATAACAGAACACTCTGTAAAAGAAATTAATATCCCTGGGGGACAGACAACCAAAAAGTGGATGAAGGGAGACGTCGGACAGGGCAAGATATGACAAAATACCCATTTATAAACTATCAAGGGCCCATGCAGGAGGGGGGAACAGGGAGGGAGGGGAAAAATGAGGACCTAATGTCGGGGGTTTAAATGGAGAGAAAATGTTTTGAGAAACGATGTACAAATGCGCTTTACACAATTGATGTGTGTATGGATTGGGATAACAGTTGTATGAGCCCCTAATAAAATGTTAAAAAAGAGGGAAAAAAATTAATATAAGGATATTTGAGTTGTATAGAAGAGAAAGTCAAAATCCATGTCATAATTGATGAAACATCTACACTTTTGAGGAACAGCATATAGGGATTTCTCTGCAGCACACAGTTCAATCTGCGTCTATTCTGGTCATGATAATCTGTCGACTCACATCAGTCACAACCATATATTCCTAATAACTTTATTGTGTACTGTAGATGGTTGCAGCTTTATGAATGGAAGAAAACTTGATTGCATTTTGTTCCAATGGTGATTTTTACAGTACTAGGAAATACATTTAAAGTAGTTAGAAAAATGTTCTGAAATACTTTGACTCTGTTCAACTCATTGACTGCAATTCAATATCTTGAAATAAGTCAATCATTTAAAACTATTCTGGAGCAAATGTATTCCGATTATGACCAGTCTAATAAATATGAAACGGAAAAGATACCACCTCACTTCTATTAGAATGCCAATGTTTAAGGGAAAAAATTACAAAAACAAGAAAGCAAGAGGTATTGGAGGGGCTATGGAGAGGCTGGAGGCCCTACTACCTGGTGGAGCCCTGGTAACATAGTAGTGACACATTGGCCTAAGATCCACAGGTTGACAGTTCAAAGCCACCAGCTTCCTCTGTAGGAAGACGATGGGATTTTCTATCGCTGTGAACAGTTTAGACAGGTATAGTCTCAGAAACTCCCGGCAGTTCTACCTGTCCTATAGAGTCACTAGGGCTTGGCATCGACTCAGTAGCAGTGAGTTTGGCTTGTGTGGGTTTGGGTGGTGTGTTTTTTTCCCAGCTCCTGGTGGTGGGAATTAAAAGTAGAGCCGCTGCAGAAAGCAAGTTTGGCAGGCCCTCAAGAGCTGAACGTGGAACTGCCTACCTTATGAACTACCAGCATTTTCATTTCTGAGTGCTGCTGGGGCAGAAATGTTACAAATAGATGACTTTATGGGCAGATTTCTTTTATCCCAGTTCGTTGTTGTCTTTAGGTACCATAAAGTCGGTTCTGACCCATAGCGACCCTATGCACAACAGAAGGGCAAAACCATCCTCACAACT